AAGTCAGATCTCTGGCGTTTCTTTCATGAGGTTCTGTTTCCGTGCAAACGATGAAACAGAAGCTCACAAAAGAAAAAGATCTTACCTCTTGCTGCGCTGCCAGTGTTGGGATGCCATGCCTCCTGCCAGCCAGCTGGCCTTCGGATCTCTGCTGCACATGTGTGGATGTCCGTGGATGTCCATTCATTTGCGCGCGCATGTCCATGCATTCATGCGTGCATGTCCATGTATTTGCGCATGCATGTACCTTTCAGTTTGGGCATGCGCACACACACAGTTTGGGCACTTGGTGTCTAAAACGTTTGCCATCACTCCCCTAGAGATTTGTATGGCTCCCATCCTTATAAAATTTAGATTTTTTAAAAAAAATTCTCCTTCAAAACCTTTGGATAGGGTGGTTGTTCTTTAGTTATATTAGTTATATTTGGCTTCTAATTGGTGTATTGTCTCTGGTTGGCTGTGACTTTCTGTTCTGTTCTCCAGAATCATCAGGGCATTATGTGGCCTCAAAGTTTGATAAAAAATAATAATTAACTAAAATAATTTGACAAATTTTTCTTAGAGTATCAAAGAGGTTTCTGGGTCTTACAGATCATTTGAGATTGAGATTCTGGGCAGGGGTGGGTTCTACTACCGGTTTGCAGTGGGGCCGTGCGCACTCGCTTCGCTCATGTGCACGCTCTTCTGCGCATGCGCAGAAGCATTTTGATGACATCGGGGTTGGTGGGTGGAGCGTCCCGCCAGTTTTACTACTGGTTCTATAGAACCAGTGAGAACCGAGGGCAACCCACCACTGATTCTGGGTCTTACAAATCATTTGAGAGCCAAAATCCCATCAAAGTGCAAGCAATATCAAATCTCATATGTGTAATTTCAGTATACCTAAGATCAGACAAGATCTCAGAGGTAAGATAACAGGAAGTTGCAAGATTTGCTGATTTTGGAAGATTTTAGTCATTTAATATAATTTTGTTTACAATTTCTTGGGACTTGAACCATTGAAGGAAAATCCAATTATTACAAAATCTTCATAAAATATACTTGAAAAGATTCTGCAATAATTATTAGAAAGGAAAGCATCCTTTGGCTTCTCTGTTCTGCTGGGTTTCTTTTAAGAAAATTATTTTCCAATTTAAAAAATTCAAAATGCAGATATTTGCAGCTAGTTTTTCATGTTGGAAAAGTGTCTTGTTAAAGCTCAGAATTAATTTCAGCACACTGAAATCACAGGGGGAAAATCCAGCATGTCAAATTTTACCTGACAACTGTTATTTGTATGTTTTCCCAAAAAGGGGCTTTTCCTACATTAATAAGAAATTAAAATTATATGTAATAATTTATAAGAGAGTATTTAGCAGAAGTTTATAGTTCCTAATAATTATTTTCATAGTGCGATGTTGACCAAAATCTACTTGTAAAAATGTTGTGTCCTATTTTTTTCAGCTCAATGAGAAACAGTGGAGAAACAGTCTAGTCACTTTCAAGAAAACAGAATAGCTGTAAGATCTTGTTTATCGGAAATTGAAAGAAGTGCTGTGTCCGAAGCTCCAGTTACAGATAGTAGGGATTAACTCAGCTGGAATGTAAAAGATGAGTTTGTAGAAGAACCAGTATTTTCAGAACTGGTGGGATTTATTATTCTTGTAGACTAGTTCTAAATTTAACTAATTTTGAAACACAACTCTGCTTTCACAAAATTCATCACCAAAGGGTTAAAACTTTGAACCTGATGAATACAATTCATGGCTAGATATGGCCTCTAATTTAAAAGATCATTTGCATGTCACAAAGAGACAAATTAACTCCCAGGTGACAGCTGTTTCACTGAGTTCATTCTTGGCATTGGCTACCATGCTGGGGAAAACTAATCCAGTTATAAAAGGATTTTTTAAAAAGCGTACTTTAGCCTTGGAGTAAAGAACTTGGAAAAATGCAATAATGGTGTACTTAAAATGGACTATATTATTAACTAATTGTATTTGTTTATTGTTTATTTGTTAGGTAATGTAGGGTAAATATCAGAGATATGGAATTTTAAGCCCAAGTAGACATGGATCACTGGGTCTATCGTTACATATCGTACCGTTACATATACTGTAATACTATATTAAATATGCTGTTTATTGCAAGCATGTAAAATAATAGAAAAATCTCTATTCTTATATTTTTCCTAAAAATGCTATAGTAAAATTTAAAAATCTTGGAAGAAAAATGCAGGCTCTTCCATTTTGAATGGAAGTAATGAACTATTAAAATGTTGAAGAGTTCTTTCTTATTACTGGCATAGATGGCATTAGTAGATATCTATAATAATTTTGGAAGATGTAGTATACTTGCTACAATTCCCTTCAGTATCTTGACATTCTGGGTTCATACATGTGTGAAGTCATTATATACTGTAGTTTTGGTTTAGGTGTTGTGTGAATTACAGAATTGTGGAGTTACAAAAATAATGTACTCCAACTCTGTGCAATATTCTGGAAAATCCGTTAACAATCCTTGAGAAGTGGCTGTCCAACTATTTAAAAAACACATCTAACTCTAGAAATGAAGAATCTACATCATCAGTACCTAGGAAATTTAGGTAGCTGCAATTTATACCCAATCTGTTCTAGTTTCTGTGGAAAATAATTTCTAACCATCTTCCCTGTAGTATCTTTTTATGTATATTGATATTATGCATCTTTTATGTGTTTACTCCAGACTGTATTTATTTATTTACCAAAGGTAGACATTGCCTATCTCACTATCCAAGTGACTCAGCCTGTCCTCTAAGGACATGTTCTCACACTACCCTTTTCTGAGCATTTTCTAACTTGTCAATATCTTTCTAGAAATGTGGTAACCATCCATTGTGTTTTTAAATTATAATCTAGAATCAGATTCTAATCGATGAACAAAAAAATTAAAACTCAAAAGGTTTTCAAATAAATAAATAATATGAAAATTTGCATGATTTATTCTTCAATTCAGCAAGACTTTTAGAGATGCCATTTTACATTATATGAATTCTGAAAAAAGTATTGCTATAAAAACAAAACACGTAATTTGTGATTTAGCATTTGTGATTTAATATACAAGTCTTTCTTCATTTGGCAGATGATGTGGAACTGCATGAATCTGGTTTAGAAGAGCCAAATATAAATTTAAAAAAGCATTTTGTGTAGGATTGTGCATTCGATAAGCCCTGTTAATGTTCCATTTTCTAATGATAGCATTTTTTTAAAAAAAAACTATTTTTTTCAACATGGGAAAAATGCATTTGTTTCCCTCTTACTGTACACCTTTATGCAACTTTCTCATTTTTCATGTTTCTCTGATTATATACTCTGATAATTTATGTAGATACTAACCATTTGATGTATAGCATCAGTAAAGAAATGGTCAAGACTCTTAGGTACATATGCAAATGATAAACTCACTTTTCAAAGTGATATGGAAACATTAAGATTTAATGGTTTGTTCAAAGGAAGTGTAAGCAAAACAGCTTTTCCTTATGCTCTAAAATGGAGCAATAAAGAGGATTTCTGCTAGGGCTCTACTGTATGAATCAAAATCAGTTTGCATGCATGTTCCTTAATTTACATTATTGCTAAAGTACATTACCCAAGACTCCTTAAAGAAATAATCATCATCAGGGCAACTTCTGGAGGGTCAAAACTTCAAGAGGGTGTTGCACAGAGGTGGGTTTCAGCAGGTTCTGACCAGTTCTGGAGAACCGGTAGTGGAAATTTTGAGTAGTTCGGAGAACTGGCAGTAAAAATTCTGAATGGCCCCGCTCCCATCTATTCTCTGCCTCCCAAGTCCCAGCTGATTGGGAGGAAATGGGTATTTTGCAGTAACTTTCCCCTTGATTGGGGAGGGAATGGAGATTTTGCAGTATCCTTCCCCCAGAGTGGGCTGGGAATAGAGATTTTACAGTATCCTTCCCCTGCCACGCCCACCAAGCCATGCCATGCCCACCAAGCCACACCCACAGAACTGGTAGTAAAAAAATTTGAAACCTACCACTGGTGTTGCATGATTGAAGCCATGATCCCTGACCCTTTTTAACATTTGTTGCATATGTGGCATATGTAAAAAAGACACAGGGTTTTAACTGCACAAGTGTCACACTAACTATTCTGATCCATCCCTGAAGATATCTCAACATGATTATCTAATATGTTAAAAAAAGAGATTTAATCACTGTGTTAATCAAAGATCCATATATTTTTGCTTGGTAGTATGCTGACTGAATATAAATGACACATTCGTGTATTAAAAAACTTCAAGTATGTGTCGATTGAGGGTGCTGGATGCCTTTCCTCAACAGATGGACATCAAGCCACTAAGTCTGGAAACATCTCTTAGTTCAAGCATTCCAAAATAAAGAAAAAAATACATGCACATTATTTTCTCACCCAAGCTTCTACTAGGAAAGCAATCAAGCAACTATTTTTAAAAACCAGCAACAGGCAGTGTGCTGCCTACAACCATCAATATACAAAAATCTCTGCCCCATCCTTTTTTCTTTATGTATTATTTTAATTTTTTTTAAAAATCAAGAACTTGCTGTTGGCAAAGCAAAACATTAGCTTCTATGGCATATTAGTATTTTTGGAGAGGCCTTATCTAACATAGTGACCAGGCATGTTTCCCACAACAATAATTTTGTAGTACATCTATCACAAGTGCTCAAAATCTGATATAGTACTATAGCTCTCAGTCCCAAAGATTAGCCACATTTTAATTAAATTCTCTCTTTGAAAAATGTGTATCCTCCTCTTTGCAATCAAGATTCTGTTAGTAGCTTATATAGTAGTATAGTCAAATATACTACTGTAAAGTCACAACGCTCTTTCTAAAACTATTCTCCCTGGACTCTCTGTTTACCTTTCAGGAACAAGTACCCATTACCGATGTTGCCTATGACCAGGACACTTTTCTTCAAAAGTGAAATCTGGCCCAAAAATCTGCATTATAATAGATTTCAAAAACAAAATAAAACTTTATCTTACCTATAGAGATTTGAGATCAGTCCCTCCCTCCAGCGAGAACAAAGATTATTAAGAAGACGTTCATGGTGTCCAAATAAAGATATGTAGTTGGAAACAGGAATAGGTTCCTTTGAAAAGCAAGTAATGGTTTCTATTCTGCTGTATTGGTTGACATGTATTCTGAAGTAAGTTCCCTTTACTGCATCTCCTGTTGTGATTGCCATCCCCTATAATAAATTGAGAAAAGTGTTGGGGCAACAGGCAAAGCTAGACCACATATCAATCTACTCACTCCAGGAAGAGAACAAGGAAGATAGGGAGGTAGGTTGGTTACTACAAAAATGCTTTATATCAATGCCTTGCAACAGGATTTCTAGTTATACCACAAAGGTTATATTCTAAGACATTATTATTAGCAGTAAGATTAGCTCTATTTAAATATTATATCAATTTCTGTACAGGAAAAGACTTCCAGGCAATGAAGGTAATCTAAGCAGAACTGCTTGGTACATATATATTCAATAGTGATGCATAAAAAAGGCAATGAAGAACATATCTATATATTTGCTTTAAGGTGCTTGTTAATATTGCTAGCAAAAAATGAGGCAATCTACACATTGAATTAATATACTAGAGGACTGAAAGCACTGTAAATTATATTGTGACAGTCATAATATCATTACACCTCATGTTGCATTTTGACTAATTTGTTTGATTTATAGGAGGCTTATTATATGTCCATAAGTTTCCTAGAAAAGAAAAGAAAAATTTCCTCAAGATACTTGTAATTCAAACCTCAATGTTTATTACTTAGGGAGTACTTACATAATCAGGTTGTGATTCTTGTACATCCAAGCGGGCAGGAATCCCAGGTTTAAAAACATGCACATAATTATATTTTCCAGGTAGAATACCACCTGTAAAAAACAATGCTATCAAGACATGTAGATTATATAAAATCAGTAAACTTGTTAATCATTAGGCCTTCAAAGTACTTTGTTATTTTTTAAAATCAATCCAGGGTGACTGGAAGAACAAATGAAACTTTGTTGCAATTTAATTGTTTGTATGCACTGTGGTGGTTACATGCTGGCCTGAATATCTAACTTCAATCACTGTAATCTTTTCAAGAAATGCAAAAGGTAAATTCTGCTTTCTGTAAACACCACAGCTGAGAGGATCAGAATACTGGATGAACATTCAAGATCTTTTTAATAATGAAAAGGGATTACTGGATTCTCAGACCTGCTTCATGCTTGGCATCTTTTCTCATAGGAGTTGCCATGCAAATATGTTAACTGGAAAATATGACTGTATGACAAAGAAGTCAGGAGACAAATTTATCAGGCAGGTAGGATTGGTTATGATTTTCTAAAGATTTTTTCTATTTAACAACTGATTTGATCATAAAAATTTGCAAAATGTAACAAATTGTTCTTCTTATATTTATACATAATATATTTTTATCTCGTTGGAAGCCAAAATGTGTAGTGTGTCAGTCTTACAAAAACAAATATCCAACAATTATTCCAGGGGCTAATACTGAATATTAAATACCTGACACATACAGCATTTCTTTCTGAGGAATTTTTTTTTAAAGTATCTCTTTTTACAAGTTCTACTGCAACTGTTATCACTTCTTTTAAATCATTTTCTCTAGTTTCTATTTGAAGAGAAAAGAAGCAGAAGGAAGAATGTGAGAAGAAGAGAGGAAATTGTGTCTGCAAGAGTTCAACAAAATAAATGGCAAAGTTTTGGGCAATTTTCTCTCATGTACATTGAACATGTACACAATATGAGGCTTTCTAAAACTCTAAGTGTAGTCCCTCTCTGAGAGTCCAAAACTTGTTTCCTATGATAAAATGAGAACATTTATTTAAAACATTGGTAACAATCAAGTTAATTATATTTTAGACTGAATCAAATCAAAAATATTTTTGCTAGTGTTGAATTTGGAATATGGCCAAAACCAAGGCTGGTTCCGGACTTTCTGGCACCTTAGGTCCGTGATGGCGAACCTATGGCACGTGTGCCACAGGTGGCATGCATAGCCATATCAGTGGGCACGCAAGCTCAGCTCTGCCGCGCATGCACGCACCGGCCAACTGATTTTCGGGCCTTCTGGGCTCACCAGAAGTAGGGAAACAGGCTGTTTCCTGCCTCCAGAGGGCCTGGGGGGTGGGTGGGTGGGAAAGGCCCGTTTTTCTTTCTCACCTGGCTCCAGATCCTTTCTATGCATTTGGGGAGGGCGAAAACAGCCTTTCCCACCCCCTCGGAGGCCCTCTGGAGGCCTGAAACAGCCCATTTCCCAATTCCCGGTTGGACAGGAAGTGATGTTTTTTGCTGTCTGCAGCCTCCAGAGACTCCTAGACTAAAAATCTTTTCAATTGACGTGGCTAGGTGGGAGGGTATGTGACTGAGTGGGCGTAGCCAATTTGATGTCACTCATGCCCACGCCTACTCAGTCATATGACCCCATCTAGACATGCCCACAGGAAAAGCTAGGAAAATTTTGGGAATTTCCACCTATCTACCCCCGCCCTCCCTTCGCCATTCACCCCCGTTTCCCCTCCTTTAGTGGCCCCGGCCCTAGCCCCACTTTCTCCCCCACCATGGCCTCTTTGTTCAGGCTGCTTACCTTCCGCGGCGGCTGGTTCAGAGTCCAGAAGACAAGCTGACCAGAGTTTTCAGCCGCCCCCAGCCAGCTGCCACTGCTGGAAAGCGGCTGGCAAAGAAGCCTCCCAGCCACCTCCTCTTTGAGAGCCACTTTGCGGCTGTGGGCCACAGGCTGCTGAAAAGTACCAGAGGTTGCAGAAAAAGCTGCTGCTGTCGCCATGTTCTTCGCCCATGCACATCCCTTGGACTTGCAAGGCAATGGGATGTGTGTGCGCAAAGAACATGGTGGCAATGAACATGGCAAGCAGGGTGAGTGAACGGCAACCAGGGGACCAGTTTGGGGGCATGGCCAGCCGGCCATCGCTACTGGTTTGGCAACCTTCGCCAAATGTCCGCCAACAGTTCGCACAAACTGGCGTGAACTGGCTGAATACCACCTCTGATTTAATCCTTAAATTATATTTAACCACTCTGGTTCACATAATGCACTATTACTACATTGTTCTTTTTTTACTGTGTTTTTTGGAAGTTTTTTCAATTCTGGCACCCCTTAAAATTTGGCACCTCTAGGCTGGTGGCTACTTGGCCTTAGCCTAGAATGGCTTGGCCCCAGCCAGAAAAATATTACCTTTTATGCTGCACTGAACCATTCATTTCCCAGTGCCTGGCTGGAGGCTTTTAGCACCTTTTCTAAGTAATCTCTACCTGTTTAATTTTGACAGCCAGAAAATGTGTTCTAATAGTCCCCTCTACCAGGAGGTGCAGCATGGTAGAAGAGATCAGATATCAGGGTTCTTAGTGGCAGCTCCCCTACTGTGAAACAGCTGACCCCCTGAGGTGAAGGTGGCTCTCAGACTCAAGGACTTCTGGAAGCAGGAAAATATTTTCCTGTCTCTATATGGGTGAGTGTGTGTCTGTACAAATGTACACAAATTTACCTGTATCTGTTTCCTATTTTTGTTGCAATTTGTTTACTGAAAGTTTACAGTGTCATTTTATTTCATTGCTATTTTAATATTTATAAACCTCCTAGAGTTCCTGAGGAATTTGCTGAAGAGGAATTGGTGTGGATGATGTCTTTTTGTTTCTACATGGTGTTTTTTGGGTGTTTGGCTGACTACCATGACCAATGAGCTAGTGGGGGCTGAACTCTCTGTCATTGAGGGAAAAGCTGAGAAGCGGGGGGCACTTACTAGCTCTATAAACTTTTGGGAAGTCCTGAAGATACTCAAGATCTCTGAGGCTTCTGCAGGTGACACAGAGTTTGGAAAAGATCCAATGTGTTTAAGCACATAGCTGTGGAAGATGCAGAAGGTTCTGATGGTACTCAATCATATTGAGGCTATAAATATCTGAATACCTGGATGCTATACAGATTTGTGCCAAATAACTGTGGCTATTTCCAAATATGGAGATATTTCATTCTGACCTTGAATGGGGTAGCACTCAGGCCTTTGGCAAGGAAGGAACCTCTCATTTCATCATCATACTTGCAATCTTTTATCTTTATCTTTTATGTTCCATTGATTTCATTGTATTTTCTTTGTTATGAGCTGCCCAGTCATTGCAAGTTAGGTGACATGCAAGATTTATAAATTACAATGGTTCATTGTGCAGTCAGTGAGATGTCCAGACTGGATTTGGCATTTTTATCCACCTATCAAGTCCTTCCCAAGGTCCTGTGTTAGGCAGAAATTGATTTTTGATGGTGTTGAAGTTATCATTGCAGGATGTAAGCTGTTCCGAGTAAAGCTGGCTTTTGCAATTGACTGATGGTGATTTTGTCAGTGTTGATGGTGTTCAAGTGAGGTTCCAGTTGTTTTGGGATTGCACCCAAAGCACCTATTACTATTGGTACTACCTTTGCTTTCTTTTGCCATAATTGCTCTATTTCTATTTGTAGATCATTGTATTTGGTTTTCTTCTCTTCTCTAGTTCTTTTCTTTTCTGCTGTCTCCAGGTACTGCTACATCCACTGTCTAGATTTGTCTTTTTTTAATCAACAATAATTGTTATATGGCAGGTTCCTGTCTCTTTAAAATCCCAGAGCACTATTATTATAAATACTTAAATAAATAAGCAAACAGAACAGGAAAAATTAAATTATTTTGCCAATGGGTAATAATGTTATCTTTCTGAATTTGATACATCATGAATTGATTTTTTTTACTTTAAAATATTTCTGATATATCAAGGTGAAATTTATAGAAATGCAAGATTATTAAAAACAAATGTATTTGGCTCACCTTGAATTTTGCATCCCTTGTACATAGGAATTAGTCTATCTAAATCTTCTGGAGGTTCAAAAATTGGCTCTAGAGTTGGATCAAAAAGATTCAGCATGGTTGCAGCAAGCTGAAAACCAACTTCTTTTGAGCTGAAATTGCTGTGTGTCCATTCATTAGCATAGTATATATTGGAAAATTTGGTTAAAGGACCTGCAGCCCTGATGCTCACATCATTAGTATGGAAGTTGGTATCAATCACAAGCCTCCCATCATAGACAAGGCATGCATCATTAACTGCTTTGAAAGTCTCATAATCCACTCTTCTTTTGGTAAAGTTAAAGAATGCCTAAAATGAATTAAAAGAAATAAAGTAAAGAATATTTTAGTAACTTTCTAGTCAAACATAGGTAAGTTCTTAATTACATAATTAAGCTTAGTTTTTAGAATATTTCATGTTCAAAGCAGATAAATATCCTTCCTGTGTCAGTGTAATGCAGACACTTTCCAATAGTTAGAATACAAAAAAAGTATTGGATAAAGCAGGGCTTTGGATGCATTTGCAGCATACTAGACAAAATATATTAAACTTACCGTTAGTGAATTTTCCATTAGCAAAGCACTGTATATTGTGTGGCACATTGGTATAATTAAAGACTAGTAACCTAAGCTATTTCTTCCATCAATTAATGAAAGCCTCAACTGACCAAACCTATGATGAATGGAAAAGGTCAAGATGAGCTGATGACAACCATGACAATGGGAGATTGTGACTTAAAGAGTAAATAATTAACAGTAGGAATTAATAAATGGAAATCAAAGAAAAATATAGTTGTGAAGGATGCAATAGATAAGCAATATAATCTTGTCGAGTTGATGAATATATTTATGGAAGAAAAGGTGTACGTCCAATTACAAATGAGAAGGTTAAAATGTATTTCAGAAAGGATGCTTGGTATCAGCTAGGTTGTTGGTTCAAATGAAAAAACGAATACAAGTACAGGTAGTATTCGACTTACAACCACAATTGAGCCCAAATTTTCTGTTGGTAAGTGACAAATTTGTTAAGTGAACGTTGTCCCATTTTACAATCTTTCTTGCCACAATTGTTAAGTCAATAACTCACTTGATAAGTGAATTTGGCTTCCCCATTGACTTTGCACATGATCACAAGAACCCAGGACACAGAAACCATCATAAATATGAATCAGATACCAAGTGTCTGAATTTTGATCACGTGACCACGGGGATGCTGTAACAGTTGTGTGAAAACTGGTCATAACTCACTTTTTTTAGTGTCATTGTAACTTCAAATGGTCACTAAATGAACTATTGTAAGTAGAGAACTACCTGTAGTCCTCACTCAATGACCACAATTGGACTGGCAGCTCCATCACTAAGCAATGTAGCTGTTAAGAAAGACATCATGTGATCAAGATGAATTTGTGCCTTTGCTTCTGCCACAGTTCTTAAGCGAGACAACACATGATCACGACTCACGATTTTATTGCTAGTTCCTACATTGACTCTGCTTATAGAAAGCAGGCTTTAAACTGTGTAAATGGCAATCATGTGACTGTGGGACACTGGGATGTTTGTAAATGCTTACCAACTGCAAAGTGCCCAAATGTCAATTACGGTATGTCATCATGGGAACACTGAGATGTTTGTAAGTATGAGGAGCTGTTGTAACTTCAAACAGTTGCTATATGGGACAGTCGTTAAGCAAGGACTAGGTGTAATTTAATCATAGATGCATGGCACATAATTTTTCTGCTAATTCATTCTTGGTTAGGGGGAAAGTATGTATAATTCTAAATAAATGTGATGTATAGAGAAAAACATTTGTTAGATGATTGGTGAAAATGAGACAAGACAGTACTGAAAAAATTGATTTGTCCATTTGCAGTCCCAAGAATGAATGAGAATGGTGACTGATGAGTATCTGCTTAAAAAAGGTTTTGTATTAAGTATGCAGTTTAAACATGTCTATTCATATGTACACATGGAAAAAGAATCAATATATAGCTAAGACCCCAACTGATTTTACTGTTTAATTATGAATGATCAGAGAATTAGTGAAGGATACAAGGGTGATGAGAGGTTCTGAATGTGAGACAAGCCATTTTTGATAGTATCAAAAGTGGAATTTAGGGAAAAAACATTGAAGAGAGTATAGATATTGCAGAAAAAGTATGAGCCTTGACATAGAAATAGATTAATCTCCCAATTTATCAAATGGAAAAAAAGATATAAGAAAAAAAATGTAAGAAGATGTAAAAAAAGATGATGTGGTACTCCAATCCTATTTGGTGAAAATAGAGTTTAGAGTTCTGGGTATAATTATTCTCTGTGTAGGATTAACATGTTTCCCAATGAGCTTAGCTCTTTTATCAGCTAAGGATAGATTCTGATCCTCACTATCAGCAAAATTAGCTTTATTAAGACTCTCTCCTTTCTACCGGCTTTTCTTTGGTTATGAGCAAGCCAGATTCCTTTTTTTAAAAAATGAAGGTAACATCTTTTCTAAAATCTCTGTTTAATAATCCCTGAAGTTTATCATAGGCATCTTGGAGCTCTGAAACGCAGAACATTCTTTTCCAGAATTCTTATATCACAATGAGTTTGGGCAGATTGAATCTATAAAACATATTCTTTATTGCTTATTTTCTTAGATTTCCAGTACCCTTGCCATATTGGTCAATTTTGTGCATTTTTACTTCTTTTAATTTAATCTTCCTATAACATAGGTATATTTTGCACTGCAGCTTGTGCCCATTAATATAGAATATTTTGTTATTTTTATTCTATTTTTAATTATCATATTTTATCACTTTTATTATAGCATTTAATTATAAACTATTTATTACATCATCACATTATACCATTAATAGTAATAATAATGTACATTTTTGTCCTTTGTAGAATTATTAATTTGACACTATCTCACCTTGTTATAGATTAGATCTTTGCCATCATGTTGTCTACTTAGAACATTTTCTTTTGGGATCTTATGTTTTAATTCATTTGTAAGCAGCTAACCATGATTTGGGGGTTCTGTGATTTATCTCTTTCAGTACTGAATGCTTGCATTTAATATTTAAAGTTTAAAAAGTATTTTTATATGCTATGTTCTTTTTAAAATAAAATGTAATTTTGTTTACCTCTTGTTAAATTGCTTTCTCTCTCTCCCCCCCTCGCTCTTTTGAAAGAGCTTTAGATGATATCACTTTACAAATATTTACTTTTTGTGTTTTGATCTTTTAATCACTACAAAGGTAGTATAGGTTTTGAGAGTCTTATTTCTGTCATACACTGAAGTTAGGGGGAAAATGCCAGCTGAGGCAAACTCTGGAAGATAGATCGCAGCAATAGAAACTATCGAACTGCAATCACAAAAGATTGACAAGGCTTCCAAGACAGGAATGTCAGTCTTCCATACTATGGGTTTAATAATCTGCTTAAGTATCATCAAATTGGTGTTGATTCTTAGTGACCTCATACATAGATTTTTTTTAGGAGGACCTGTCCTGAAGCTGGTCTTTCAGATCTTCCAATATTGCACCCATTGCTCCTGAACATCCTATTTTCTTTCCTTCCACCTTTCCCAATATTACAGACTACTCCAGAAACAAGGCTTTTGCATAATGTATCCAAACTATGATAAGTTGAGGCTGGACATTGTGTCTCAGGGTTGATTTATTTGATAATCCATTTATTTATTTAGCTGGCTATCAAAACACCAATGTTCAAAAGTAACAATACTCTTTCTATCCTGCTTCTTCAAACAGTTACCTCCATAAAGCAGAGAACAGAGAAACTCATTACCTGCATAGTTTGATCTTTGTAGGTATAGACAAATCCTGAATATATTTTCCATGGACTTGATGGCTTCTCTATCAAGCATTAGTTTGCAGTATATCTCTTGACTGATGGCTTCGGTACTGTTGATTCTACTTAGTAGACAGTTGATCATCGATCTACTACTACTTAGATAGCTACCAGTTGAGCTATCTACCTCTTCAGTATCAATTCTAAGGCTGGTACTTGTTGTCAAGTATATTTAATCATAATTCTCTCTTTTTTCATTTTGCTTTTTTATTTTCCATACTATAGCTTGCAAATTATTTGCATTTTCATGTATCAAGCATAATGCAAATTATTGATGTTTCTTTCTGCAGTTTTAAAACCATTTCTTCCAGTCCAGCTTTCTTCCATATATATTTCATATATAGGTTGAATGAATGAATGAATGAATGAATGAATGAATCTCTACATTATACAGCTTTATTTTATTTATTTGCCAATCTGATGCCAGTCTGTTTTGTCATGTTCTGTCTACTATGGCTTCCTGATCTGGGTATATGTTTCACATGAAGACAATGAGATTCCCATTTTTTCAAGCACATTCCACAGCTTGACATGATTGACATGACTGAAGGTCTTTCTATAATTAATGAGCATGTATTCACTTATTTCTGGTAATCCTTGGTTTTCTTAATTATCTAGTATGCATCAGTTCCTCAGCCTTTTCTAAAACCACATCTGGCATTTCCCTGTTGGGCAAACCTAAGGATTATTTTGCTGCCATGTAAAAAAAATGATACTTTTTTTTGAACGACTAAAAACCTTATATGGATTTTTTGCAGAAATATTGAATTGATGATTTAGGGATTTTGGGAATAAAAAGGGCTAAAAGGAGAGGGGAAGGGAATTACAAACTAAGAGAAAAAAAGAGAAAGGAGAAAGAGTAAGATGGAAACTATGTGATAGAAAGCAGAGTAGAAATCCTATTTTCTTTTTTATTTTCTTCTCTTTTTCTTTTTATCTTTTTTATAGTTTTTATTGTATTTTAAAATGCTATTTTTTTTAAAAAAAAGAACATCTGGCATCTCCCTTTCCAAATAAAATCCAAATCTGCATTGAATAAGGATTAGTTTGCTAAGTATGTGAAGTTAGGGATATGTATGATAGCTGGCACACTTTCTTAACTCTTCTTTATTTGGTGCTGAGATGTGAATTTCTTTCAATTTATTTTCCATTGTCTGGATTTGCTGGCATAATTTCGTTAGAACCAATACTCATCCTGATTCTACTGTTTGCCATATTTTTCTGGCTATTACGTTACTTCTTAGCCATCCAGCCTGGTTACAACCATAGTATTGATCTTATTTCATTTTCTTCTACTAAAGGTTCTTGTAAGAAGTGAACATTATCTAACCTATCTTGGATATTTATTTATTTGTTTGTTTGTTTGTTTGTTTATTACATCTATATGCCACCTTGATTCTGACATGTCCTTGTTTCTCAGGTCATGATCCATCACTATATCATAAATCATCTTATATTTTCCATCCATATCGTTTTCTTAGTAAATCACAGGAGAGGTTCAGCATTGCCTATTGCTGTGTGGTATGAAATAATGTCCTTGCCATTGTTAATACATTGATCATCTACTGCTGCCATCTTCCTATATTGCTGTTATCCTATATAGAGACTGCTTATTTAAGCCAGGTGACTAGGATGACATTTACACCTTGGGTGGCATGCTAGAAATATGTATTCTTGTTTGCTCATTCCTCCCAGGAATAACCCCACCATGATAAAACAGTGCAAAAGGACTTTGTGGGTGGAGGATGAAATAATTTGCTAGTTTTTTAAAACAAAATTGGGTTTGGTATACATCTTCTGCACAAAATTATTGGAAAATGTAAGTATGAATGGAGGATTACTTTTTGCAGACTTATCCCAAACTTCAAAGTATACTTTTATTCCGTAAAACAGAACTAGCTTATTCTGCAAGATTAAGCATACCAATGCAGTTATGCTTAAAACTTAAAACATAGCATAATCAGACAAAAATACGATTCATGCTCGAGATTCAAGCTAGGTTTCAGCATAGCAAGATCCAAAAGCAGAATTCTAGAATTCAAGCCTGTTTCAATTGTTATATATATTAAATGTATATATTAAAATATAGCAAAGGCACATACTTACAGAACATTGCAACTTAAATGGCTTTGTATTTGTAGTGAAAGATGCACATGTGATTGGATCTGGGTGACTGCCATCATTCCACTGAGCCAATAGACTGTCATGGTATTCAGTTACACGAGATCTGGACAATGCTTTCTTGATAGCTCTTTCTATTGCGTTGTTATTGAGAGAAGTAATATTGGAATTTGAGGGAGGGTGCACAAGATGTATACAATAGCCACTAATTCCTAATGATAAGAGGGATTCTATAGTGGTGTACACATCAATTGTATTCCCATAGACAATAATATTCCCTGGAGAAAGCAAAAGAAAAAAACAGAATAAACCTCATTAATATAATTAATATGATAAAGCTGAAATGATGTGACCTCCTTGTTACTCTGATGCTATGAAGTAAACACAATTACCTAACAATAACAGCTAAAATAATTTATTAAAAATTCTGCAGAATATATTCCAGAAATAGGAAACACTTTGCATCAAAGCAGGGAAACTTCATATCTTTCTTTGAGACCCAGTGGGAAAAAGGAAAGGGAAAAAGTACCATCCCTCCCTAGATATCCCTCTATCTAACCCCCCTCTATTTTTGTTTATAAGATCTCCAAATAAAAACAATAAAAAGTTTAAGCATGTTGGGAAATTAGAAAGAAGAAAAGGAAAAACATTGCCATCAGAATTCTCTTACTCTACAACTAGAAAAGTTATTTATCTCTCTTCTATCTGTTCTCTGTCAAATGTAATGAAATCAACAAAATAGAGGTACCAGAACATAAGATATTAATGGACGTCTGCAGCAATTTTCACTAACTTAACCACAGAAATGTTGGGCTGCAATTCTAATCTTCTCTATCCAACATGATGGGCATCAAAGTTATTGCATATGAAATCTAAAGAAATTGAAATTTGGTAAATACTGTACTGTAAAGTGAAGCTTTCCCTCAACACATAGTTGTTTATTATATACTGTTATATATTGTTTCCTTCCACCGTGGCCTGTCTGGTCCTTACAATGAGGAGAGGATGATCTACTGATCAGACTATGGCTTACTGACATTCAGTCAGCTGGGGTATGTAGACAAACAATCTCTGTATTGGTGCCCACATTGTAGAAGAAACTTTATTTGGAGAGTCAGTGAATTCCAAAAATAGAGAGCTGTTACCAAAAATTGGAAACTGATTTATTTGCTTATGTTTATGTTTATGTTTTATTTGATTTGTATACTGTCCTACTCCCAAAGGTCTCAGGGCGGTGAACAGCCACAAGATAAAAACACATAAATACAAAATTTAAAAACAGAATAAAACCGAATTAAATAATTTGGCTGAAGACAAATTTAAAACACCCCAATAAATTAAAACCAATTTAAAATTTGTATTTTAAAAGGGAAAAAAGGGAAAAATTACGCCAGGCCAGCCTGATGGAATAAAAAGGTTTTAAGAGCGCGGCGGAAGGTGCGTAGATCCGGGATCCTCCATATCTCCGGGGGGAGCTCATTCCAGTTAGTAGGTGCCCCCATAGAGAAGGCTCTCCCCCTGGGGACCGCCAGTCGACATTGTTTGGCCGACGGCATCCGGAGGAGCCCCTCTCTATGAGAGCGTACTGGCCGGTGGGAGGCTACTGGTGGCAGCAGGCGGTCTCGTAGATAACCAGGTCCTAAGCCATGGAGCGCTCTAAAGGTGGTAACCAAGACCTTGAAGCGCACACGGAAGACCACCGGGAGCCAGTGCAGCTTGTGCAGGAGAGGTGTTACATGGGAACGCCATGTCGCTCCCATAACCACCCGCGCGGCCGCACTCTGCACCAGTTGGAGCCTCCGGGTGCTCCTCAAGGGGAGCCCCATGTAGAGAGCGTTGCAGTAGTCCAGGCATGAATGACCGTGCGTAACGAGTCCCGATCCAGAAAGGGACGCAACTGGCGAATCAGGCGAACCTGATAAAAAATCCTCCCGGTCACGGCCGTCAGATGGTCTTCTAAAGACAGCCATGAATCCAGGAGGACGCCCAAGTTGCGAGCCCTCTCTGTGGGGGCCAGCTATTCGCCCCCAATAGTCAGTGATGGCACCAACTGACTATATCGGGACGTCGGAAACCACAGCCACTCGGTCTTGGATGGGTTGAGCCTGAGCCTGTTTCTCCCCATCCAGATCCGCACGGCCTCCAGGCACTGGGACATCACTTCAAGGGCATCGTTGGGGTGGTCCGGGGTGGAGGTGCACAGCTGAGTATTGTCAGATGGTACTTCATCCCGAAACCGGATGATCTCGCCCAGCGGCTTTACATAAATGTTGAACAGAAGGGGCAAGAGGACCAACCCTTGTGGCACCCCACATATGAGGCGCCTCGGGGTCGACCTCTGCCCCCCTGCCAACACAGACTGCAACCGGTCGGAGAGAAAGGAGGAGAACCACTGCAATACAGTGCCCCCCACCCCTAACTCTTCCAACTGGTGCAGCATGATACCATGGTTGATGGTATCAAAAGCCGCTGAGAGATCTAATAGGACCAGGACAGAGCCCTCTGTCCTGAGCCCTCCAGAGATCATCAACCAACGCGACCAATGCCGTTTCCGTGCTGTACCTAGGCCTGAAGCCCGACTGGAATGGATCCAGATACAACGTTTCATTCAGGTGCTGGGGGAGCTGTCGCGCAACCACACTCTCAACAACCTTCGCCACAAAGCGAAGGTTGGAGACCGAACGATAATTAGACAACACTGCCGGGTCCAGGCAAGGCTTCTTGAGGAAAGGCCTTACCACCGCCTCTTTCAAGGCGGCGGGGAAGTCACCCTCACTCAATGAAGCATTTATAATCCCCTGGAGCCAGCCTCGTGTCACCTCCCGAGAAGCCAGCACTAACCAGGAGGGGGTCCAACAAACATGTGGTCGCGTTCAGTCTACCCAGAATCCTGTCCACATCATCAGGAGTCACAGGATCAAACTCATCCCAGATAACATTCTCAAGACCTGCCTCCGTCATCCCTCCTGCAACTACCCAGTCGGAGTCCAGACCTTCCCGAATCTGAGTGATTTTGTCATGCAGGTACTGTACAAAGTCCTCAGCTCTACCCTCCAAGGGGTCCTCCCGCGCTCTCTGGTGGAGCAAGGAGCGGGTCACCCTAAACAGGGCGGCTGGGGGGTTCTCTGATGACGCAATAAGAGCAGCAAAATAATTACATTTTGCTGCTTTTATCACCACTAGGTAATTCTTAATATGAGATCTTACCAGTGTCCGTTCAGATTCAGAAAGACTGGCCCTCCAACTACTCTCTAGGTGTCTTTTCCGGCGCTTCATCTCCCTTAGCTCCTCAGTGAACCAAGGAGCCAGAAGAGATCGGCGCCGGGTCAGAGGCCGCAAAGGCACGACCCGATCCAGAGCTCCAGTGGCCGCCCTGTCCCAGGCAGCCACTAGGTCTCCAGTCGAGGCATGAGCCAGAGCCTCAGGGAATGGCCCAAGCTCCATCTGGAACCTCTCAGGCTCCATCAGGCGCCTGGGGCGGAACCATCTTACCGGCTCCTTATTATTTATTTGCTTAGATTTATTTGCTTAGATTTATTTGCTTAGATTTTCCTTTGATGTTGTCAGCTGACCTAGTAATTCAATGTTGACTTTTAAAAAGCCATTTTTGAACTTTATCCTCTATATTTAGTTTTAACTATATTATATTGTTCTAAATAACTTTGATATTTGCAAATGAAAAGTAATGCAAAAAGTATGAAAACAAATAATGAATAAAGCTAAATTACTGTGGCTTAAATCTAAGTAGATCTAAGATCTATTGATTTAGATTAACATTTTTCCCCAAGGACTCATCCTGACTGACAGTATTAGATTTATTTCCTCAGTCTGGAATAAGATTATGGAGGTAAATTTACAAAGCCTAACTAAAATAGCCATGCACTTTTCAGTTTTACCAAAGCTAAAGAATTTATCAAGTAGCAAATAATGGATATCAGTTTGCAGAGAGAATGTTAGGTACTTCCCTTTTATTTAAAAGGGAATTTTTTTGTCCCATCCTAAGTTTCTATATAGATGTGTTACTGCAAAATACTGTAGGTCCTTTACTTTAGCATGTTTTAACATTCTGTCTTCAGTCTTACTAGAAATAAGTTACTTTGTCTCTGGAACAACTGAAATTGTGAGTTATAAATTTCATACTGCTGATTTTATGATTAAATTTGTCACCTGTATTTAACTCTGGATTTTACTTCTAAATATGTTTCTTTGTAGATTAGAAAATATTTATAATTTATTTTTCAAACCATGGTGACATCAGCTTTAGTTACCAAATTCTGCTTCAAAAGTTGTATCACAAATGAGACATCATGTGACTGTGACTTGCAATTTTACTTCCATGTCCTACATTAATTCTGCTTGTCAAAAGCTGGTTGGGAAGCATACAAATGGCAATCACATGACTGCAGGTCTCTGTGATGGTCATAAGGGTGAAGATTGGTCATAAAGTTGTAGATTTTTAAAACTGCTACATTTTTGAATGGTGAATAAACAAGACAGTTGGTAGGTGAAGTCTACCTATAGTATAATTTGTTCTATATGGGGCTGTACTACAAAATCACTCTTGTATGCTCACTAGCCTATTTTAAAACTTCAATGTGATATTTCTGCTTCAGGAACTGCACTAACTGACAGTGGATTTTTTTTAGTACATGTCAAGGTGCTGGTCACTATAATAAAAGTCTACACGACTCTGGTCCTAGATATCTAAGACAATGCCTTTCCATGACCAGAGAACTCATAAATGCATTTTTAATAAACTGCATCACTGTTTGGTTTGGTGGTAGCAATGTCTCAGATAGAAGGTCCATACAGAGAATGGTAAGGATAGCTGAGAAGATTATAGGAAGCTCACTTCCCGTTATTCAGGATACCACTTATAAGTGCTATGTGCTTAGAGCTCAAAGCATTGTTAGAGACCCCCCACACATACTTTGCAGTCTGTTTCTGTTGCTCCCCTCTGGGAGGAGGTTTCAAAATATCTACAGCAGGATTACTAGATTCTGTAACAACTTTGTTCCTTACGCCATCCGTCTTGTAAACTCGCAGGATTCTTTTTTTTCGCCATGTATATGTATACATCTGAATTGGACTGTGATGTCTCTCTGTGTCATATATCTATGTGTGTGTGGGTATATGCATAATGGTTATCTTTTGAGAGCTGAATGCAACAAAATTTCATTTTAATGTATGCTGATTAGTGTACATTTCAAGTGACAATAAAGTTTCCATTCTGTTCTGTCCTCTCCTGTCCTGTCCTATCCTGTATACCAAAATGATTCTCTAATGTACTGCTTCTTGAGGGGGGGCAAACTTTCAAATCAATGGTAAAAATCCAATCAATTTCTAAACAAATGGACAATACGTTCACAAATTTGGAAACAATACATTCACAAATTTGGAAACTGGCATACTTACGATCCATGAAAATGTTAAAACTAGGAAAGTGCATGTTGGTTAATTTGAAAAAGTTTTGGAAACCTTGAAGAGAATAATTGCTACTGAATTAGAAGAAAAGGATCAACCTCATGTAATGTATTACAAATCTACAAACTCTACTAATTAAAATACATGGGCAACTCACCAGAAATAATTAGAAACAATCCACCTTTGATACTAAGCAGCAGAAATCTTTATTTAATTACATGGAAGAATGCATTCAGGAAATCCTCCACTATGTCTTCCCCTATAACCAATACATTATAATACCAGAGACCAGCTTTTACATTTTTAGAGACAAACTACCAAATTGAAATACCATGTACGTAAAGTTATGTTTTATCTAGAACCCCCTTTACAAACAATCTATTTTTTTATTTTTTTTTTTGCCTGTCTCTTGGACATGAGGTCAAAAGATTTACAATAGTTTTGGCCACCATGGATCTTTATAGAATTTGTATTTCTCTGTTGAATAACAGTTATAGTATTAGCTATTAAAAAGGAACAATTTGCAGCAAGTTGAAATTATACTTTCCGAGAACATTACTTTACAAGAAATACATAGTCTATCAAATGAAACCTCTTTTTGAGACATAGGATTGGGAATGGACAAACCAATATTAATTGATATTCAAATAAAGCATATCGGTAGCTAAAAGCAAAATAAACTCATGTGGTATATCAACGCTGCAACTTGAAAGATTCATTATTTTTGTGGTGCCAAAGATAGCTACTGTCACTATTGCTCTAATTAACTTTTATGGCCCATTAAGAATATTACTGACATAATTCAAAGCTTTTTTCTAAATTATATTCTACAACTACTAATATATAATTTATGCTGGAGATTTCACCTCAATTTAGGACTATCAGAAGATCTGAGAGACACGGATATCAACATGATTTTAGATAGATTATATTTGCATTTGTTCTGCCTTCGTGAATCAATTTAGGGATTCTTCAGTATGTTCCAGTGCAATCTCAGACTATGCTTTAGTGACTACAACTGGGAAATTTAATAATTATAAATCAGCCAATACTAGGTGGTACAAATAGTGCTTGTTTAGTCACTGCCTTGGACAGCAACCATTCACAATTATGATAGTGATGAAAAAGTAACTTTTGATCTTTGTAGGTATAGACAAAGAATTGGAATATCCAAAGTTTTTAAGGGATTCATGAGTTAAGAAATGTAAAACATACTTTTTATAATTTAAATTAATTCATCAAAAATATTTTGTTGTATTTATTGGACACTCAAAGAATATTTTAAAATGGATCAGGATATAAGTATTCTGTCTATTTTTTCAAAAATTCCTTTGTCCTAAAAATGAGATAAAGAAATATTTATATAGTCCAGATTTAATAATAAGTTTAGGGTTGAATTCATTTTATGTGCCTGATTATTATATCAATCTTTCCCCCCTTTGTTAATTAGTTTTTCTTTATCAAATTTTTAATGATTATAATATATCTAGGGACTTTTTTTTGTTCAATGAATCAATCAGTATCTTTTTTCTTGTTGGAATTATAGGGGTTTTTTGCATGTCAACATAAATTTAAAAAATAATTAAATAAAAGCTGCATTCAAATCACTATAATTTATAAATTTATACAACACAGCAGCACCCATCAATTTTGGGTAAGATGGCACAACAGAATTTGGTTTAGTGTATATGTAAACACAGCCTTTCTTCATCACCTAAACTTGGGGGATTGTTCGGTGGATTGCATGAAGGGAGCAAATATGTGTTCTATAAATGTTATACTTGTGTGCAGATGTACAGTACATGCACACAAGCACACAGACAAAGGATGCACACATGGCACTGCTCACTAAATGCATACTATTAAGTCAGAATAAAAAGTAAGGGCAGTTTTCCTTTTCTTCCCCCACAGAATGCATTCTGTCTCTCAGGTCCCAAAAGGACAGATCTAACAGAATAAGTCATTAGTAAATGGGACTGAATTGACCGGATTTGTCAATGCAGGAGCAGTCTTTTCCTAACAATCAAATGAATTAAGCCGAGAAACAAGACAGATTAATAAGGCATCTTTTCTGCAATTGCAGATAAAAGAGCAGGAGATTGTACAGTATCATATCCCATCATTTGCTCCACAAAAGGAGCAACAGGTAAGACTTGGTTCCCCAAATAAAAGACATATCTGAACAAGTAAATCTATTCATCACGCTTGCAATAAACAAAGCAAGGTATAAAAAGTATTCTGTTTAGTTTCACAAAAATCAACATACAATCATGTCATCATGAATGGGCATATGAAATGATATTGTATATCCACATTGGAACTCCACTGGAGGAGTGAATTAATGCACACTCAATGCTATTTCCAACATGGAAATAAGGGACCTCATAAGAAAAAACAAGCAGCTGTTAGCAGCTACTTACTTCTGAACTAGTTGCAAAAGAAACAATTATAGGTTGCCCTCGATTTACAACCACAATTGAGCCAAAAATTTCTGTTGCTAAGTAACATACTTGTTAAGTGAGTTTTGCCCCATTTCACGACCTTTCTTGCCCCAGTTGTTAAGTTAGTCACACTGTTGTTAAATGAATCTGGCTTTCCCATTGACTTTGCTCAGATGGTTACAAAATGTGACCCTAGCACACCATCATAAATATGAATCAGTTGCCAAGCATCTTAATTTTATCATATGACCATGGGGGTGCTGCAATGTTTGCAAGTGTGAAAAACGGTCTAATTGCCTAATTCCAGGTCAGAAGATACCATTCCCTCCTCCAATTGTACCAATAGTCACTGAAAGAAAACTGAACTGTGGTGTTGACAAAAGGAACACTTCTGAGGCAGACAGAAGTAGGTGCAATCAGTGGCACCTACAACCTCAGAAAACACAAGCTGAATACAAGGTTCAGGTTATGTTTTATGTCCAACTATGTGGCTATATATTTTGCTCCATTCCTTGCTTTGAATATTTTTGTAATGCCATTCCATTTCTGGGTACTGCAAATATAGGTAGATTTACAGAACCCAAGCCAAATATAGAAGCCGCCTTGGTAAATCAGGTAAATCAATGCAACTTAATGAAAGGGTGCATTTGTATCCATATAAACATAACACGCATGGTATTAGCCAACTGTAGTACCTTTTACAGTATGCAGATAGTTCTACATTAAATCCCCAAAAGACCAATTTTCTTTTTTTTCAGCTTTTTCAGTCTAAAAAAAACTTGTGTCTAGCTACAAAACATATTTAATGATATTACTATCTCATATGTTAATTAACAATCCCAGACTTTGTGCTTAGGTCTTTCATTTCAGTTAATCTAATTTCATAAAGCAATTATAGGTAATTCTTCTTTTCAATCTTTGTTCCAGGCAAGAAATATAAATGTCTCCAAAACTGACATTGTAAATTAATCTTTACATTGTAAATTAATCTGTACAATAAATAAGAGCAGATGAAACAGTTTGCAAGGATTAATTAAGCTATAATTATATGCTAGAAATGGAGATGCAACTTGCCAAGAAATACATAAACCTCTACTGTCTTCATGTAGTAGAATTGGTAAGACTGTTACCTGTGGAATCAATCACTTTTTCTTTTAGCCACTTCATTGCTGCTAATGCATCTTCATCATCAGAAATAATAAAAAGATTGGAGGGCACTACTCCTATGTATCTTTGTTTATAATTTGTTGATACCTCTCTGTTGGTTAATAATTTTTTGATATCTGCACCACTAGGACATGGGACCTATATTTATAGATAAATAAATATTATTTATCATATCATTCTAATTTTCTCACAGATACCAATATTTATTAAAATATATTCTGCTTCAGCAATTCATATTTTTATAATAAATGAGCTATAAAATTACTAAGCAAGCAGTAACTCAACAGCCAATCCATAGAAGAGGAAATGTGCTACATCTGGCTGAGCAAATAAACATATTTTAATTACAGAAAAATATTGATGTTATAGGTACTTGACAAATGAATCTAGGTCTTTAGGTCTACAGGCAAAATACAGATTTTAACAGATGTTATTATTGTTATTATTGTAATATTAGTTCAAAATATTGAGGCAAATTAAGAAAGACCCACATCACATTTACTGTAAATTATACAAGCTAGTCTTACACTTATTTTCAGTGATACTCTAAATTTGTCTCATCTCAAGAATGAAAACTAAAATTTGAAAGGATATTGGAGACTAGCCCTTCTTCATCCAGGATCTACGATAAAAAATATAGAGAACAATTGAACTTTTGATGTTAGATTGAGTTTTCTTTACTGTGCACATCTCTTCCCTTTGCAAGAGAATTAAGTGATTTTTTTTCATTCAATTGCAATATAATTTCTTCTTTACTCCCTTCATTTCCCCAGCTTCTCTGTTTTCTTCTCCATTTTCTGCTATTTTAAATATTTTCCTTATTTTGTCTCACTTCCTATTCTCATGAGAGAAAATATCAGTAGTGGGTTTCAATTTCAACCGCTACCTGTTCTCTTGTGGGTGCTCGCGTGTACGCGTGACGCTTCTGCTCATGTGCAGAGACATCCGGGTGGGTGGGTAGCGCCTCCCACCACCGCTGCTACCGGTACGCCCAATCCAGGGCAAACCAGTAGCAACCCACCACTGGAAAATAAGTATAGTTTGTGAATAATCTTGCCTTTTCAGCAACCACTTTGGGTAATTAATTATATCAAAGCCCTTTAAAAATGCAATTTATGGATAGAAAGTTTGAGGAGTCCTTTATTAAACTATTGCAAATGGATGTTGTCAAGCCCCTGCTGAAGTATTTCCAGAGAAGTAGTCTGCTGAGATGAAGCAAAATAAAACAAAACAAAACAACTGGCTAAAACTAACATTTTCCACCCAGTTCTTTGGAACAACTTCTGGTTGAAGAGATTTCACGTACTGAAAAATTGCAAGGGTTGAATAAAAAATAATGCTTTCAGTGTTCTTAGTTGGTAGTACTGATGCACTAGAAGCTTTGTCATGTTCTTTAGCATTAGTTATTCTCTTTTAATTGACAAGAGATTATTATGAGAAAAAGTTGTGTTCCTATTTTCCTGACATGTAAGTCTACAAGTTACTCTGACTCAGTGTAACTCAGTGTAAACTCCTCAGTTTAAGAGGAACAAGTTAAAGATAGTTGATTAATATCTCAAAATGAAATTGATTTCAAGATTGCCATTTCATAAGAAGAAAATTCAGCTGCAATATGATAATTCTAGGCCACACACCTCACAGGCCACACAAGAGGCCTTTGCATCTCAGCAACATTCCTTATTTGCTATAGATGACATATGACACATTTCCCCAAAACTAATGGGATATTTTTGTGACCATCTGTTTGACTAAAATGAAAAGGTAAAAAGGACTGTCAGGATCCAGTAAGAAAAGTGGCTTTAAGAAGCTTGTCCATTGTTGGCAGAAATGTGTAAAAAATGAAGGTGGAGGAATGAATGCAGGCAATAAAAGGATTTTTTTTTTGTTTCACTTATTAAAGCATCTCTATTTAAACTAAAGTTATAGAGGTATAACCAGCTTTTTCAACTACAAGAATTGGATAACTACCTTCCTAGTTGCTTTTTAAAAATATGCTCACATTTGTCATTCTTTTTCTCCTCTGTTCCTTCTCATATCAGGCTTATAAAAGTAAGAATGCTTGCTAAATTATGTTATCTATTGAAGACAGACAGTGCAGTGTGTGAATTCACAAATAGCTACTCAAAAAACCACCATCACGGGAAGCAATTTACTTTTTTGTCATCTCTCTGCATCACATATATGAGTGATAACTCATATCCATTTACATCCATTTACAACCCTGGGGCAGTGTTTGGAGGAGAACAGAAGGCAATGTTGCTTGACTAAAAGTAAGTAATCTTGATAACGTGGAAGGCTGGGATCACATTACCATTCTGCAACAAGCAGAGAAAAAGATTCTTCAAGAGAAATAGATACATGAGGCCCTACCTCAGGGATGCAGAAATCTATCCCTATGGGAACTGTATTGTTTTCAACTCTAAAAACCACTTGAGGTATGGTCATTGATATTGCAAGAAGAAGACCTAAAATGTTCAGTTTCAAATGGTTTTGTAGTCATCCTCAACACTTCAGCCACACTTCTTGCTCAAACTCCACTATCAATCTCAGAAAGAGTCAGCAGGGAATCTGGCATACAGGTAAGAAGAGAATTGATGTCTAGTTTATTCACTTGAAAACAGTGCCCAACCATTAACAATTCCAGGGCCCATAAAATAAAATAATCTGGTATTGAAATTTGACAACTTTTATGAATATTTTATGACATAAAAACTAACATAAAACATTTATGACATAGTACAAAATGTCATAAAACATTTTCTATGTTTGATTGTGCTGTACAATTTAATATGGGCTATTTTCCAAGCAGATACATCTCTGAATATCTCCTTGAATTTTAAAGAACTTTTCCAATGAAAGGAGTAGAATAGAAAATCTGCCTTTGTTGAAGACATTAAGGAATCTGGTAAGGAAAGATCTATCTCTGAAACAAGGATCTAAATTGTTTAATAAGAATAAATAGTTAAGTGTAGCAACTTGTTTGTTGAGGAGTCTTGGAATTCCATCACTGCTAGATTTGTCAAATAAATCAAATCATCTCAAAGATGAACTCTTATGCTTCTTATGCTGCAACAGTATGGAATTGTGTAGCACAGGCTCTCATTTGTTGATAGATTATCTAAATCTGGGACTGATTCTGAGATTTTCATAAGATTTCTAAAAAGCTATAAATTACAACTGCTTATATTGAATTCAGCATGATGATTTTTACTAACAGACATTGTTTTTGATTCTTATAGACTATTTCTGAAATTATTTGTTCAATTAAGCATGGGATCACAACCTTGAACATGGTATATAACTAAAAAGAGGATAAAAATAGGATTAAAAAATATTTTGGATAGGAAAAAACAAATTTCCAAACTTATTATTATATATGCAATATAAATTAATCTGAGTTCAATGAAAATTTTTCCCATTTAACTAGGTATGGGAGTGCTGCCTCAATATTTGGACTTACCTGATACTGTTGGCCAGTGCAGAGAATGAGATGATCATATGGCACTTTTTTCTCCTTGGAAACTGTTATATGTTTTGCAGACCTGTTTATAGCAATCATTTTTCCAGCCACAACATTAATCCATGAACCAAGTGACATCAGTGCATAATCATCTTCATTAAAACAATAACTGTGAAGAAACAGCAAGTTCATTTTAGTAATTGAATGTAATTATTAATTATATTCTGGTAAATTTATTAAAATCCCATAATCAAGTCTTCTTGTTCCCTTTCAGAAAATTTACTGAAGTCCATAGTAAGGAATTATATTACCCCCACAGGAAGACACATGAATTGGAATTGGAAGGAGGTGCTTATATTTGCTGGTAAGAAAATAATGGATTAGCAAGAGATGCAGATTGGTGCAGACATAGCTGTTACAAAACTGTAATGCATAAACCAGGGGTATCCAACTTTGGCAACTTTTAAGGCTTGTGGACTTCAATTCTCAGAATACCCCAGCAGCCATGCGGGCTGGTTTTAAGGTTGCCAAGGTTGGACACCCATAGCATAAACAAAGGCTAGCTTAAAGTTCACTCAGTTTTCTTTTTCATTTCAAGAATAGTTTCCTCTTATTTCATCTCTATTCTGTTTTCTCCCTTTTTTGCTACTTTTGCTAAAAAGAGGAAAAAATTACTGAAGGCATTGCTATAGTTTTTAAAGGCAAAACAAGGATAGTAATTTAGCAAAAGACAATACCTGAATCTGTTACAAGGGGAGTACAAATGTTAGAAACTAAATTTGATTAATTCCTCATTTACTATATAAATATACTTATAGCATCAGAAGTATATTTTACCATTTTAAAATAATGTTTATGTTTGTCTTTTTGGCAGTACTGAAAATACTCCAAACCAGGGGTGAAATCCAGCAGGTTCTGACAGGTTCTGGAGAACCGGTAGCGGAAATTTTGAGCAGTTCGGAGAACCGGCAAATACCACCTCTGGCTGGCCCCAGAGTGGGGAGGGAATGCAGATTTTGCAATATTCTTCCCCTGTCATGCCCACCAAGCCACGCCCACCAAGCCACGCCCACAGAACTGGTAGTAAAAAAATTTGGATTTCATCGCTGCTCCAAACGCACCTGTTAATTAAAAAATGCTTATGCAGATTATTTGATTCATCTTTCCCTGGAAGGCCATGAGCTGAAATCAATGTAAGGTTGTTGAATTTCAGGTGTGGGCTACAAAAAAACAGAACATCAAAATGTTATACAAATTTACTTCAGTTATTTTTAATTCATATTATTCATAGGCAATTGAAATGTCAACTGCTCAGAAATCATATTTTATGCAAATATGCGCCAGCATTTATATCAACTTTCACAAACTATTTTGATGCCAATAATAGTAGTAACAGTAGTGATAGCTGCTGCTACACGTAGTCCTTGACTTACAACTGTTTGCTTAATGATGGCCTCTGAAAATAATATTACAACTTAAATTTTAATTTACAACTGTTGCTCCACCCCCATAATCATGTGATCACAATTCAGGCACTTGGCAACTGGCTGGCATTTTTGACTGGTTGCAGTTCCTGTGATCATGTGTGTCGCGATCCACTCGACACCTGTCACGATCCACTCGACACCTTACCTCGCTGCTAGGATCGAGGACTCAACCGCTCCAGTTGATGGTGGCCAGACGGGGTGGCTTGAGGGGGTGTGTGTGGCGTCGGAGACCATCTACGTTACTACACGGTGGTGGGGGTGTTATTTAAGGCGGTCGGTCACGGTGGCGGCCGGGGAGAGGGAGTAATGTTTACCTTCCTGCCGTAATGGGACGGCAGCCGGTAGCGCATGCGCATGAAGCCCGGAAGGGCGGTGGTCAGAATTACCATACGGCGCGCTATTTAAAGGGGGTTGGGAGGCAGCCGCTCCCAACGCCGACTTTGCATGTATCCGTATACCGTCAGCTTTGTCGTGCAGCGTGTGAAGGCATAATTAATAAAGAAGTTGCAGCAAGCCTGGGCTACGCGTGCTCCTTTCGCCTTGCCCACACGGACATGTAACGCATCGTTGACAGAAAAGTCGGCGTTGTACCTCCTCGCTTTTGGCGGTGGTCAGCGGCATGGCAGAGGGCGCAGCGGCTGAGTCCCCGGCGACCGAGGAGGAGTTGGATGCGGACATGGAGGGCTTGTCGGAGACCCCAGCGTCTGAAGAGCTGGAATTGACGGTTGTACGCCCGAAAGAGGCCACACCCCCGGCAGGCGCTGTTGACCTCCATGGGGACGAGTGCCGTCTGCGAGGTGAGAGAGACTCGTTGAGCCAGTGGTCGTCATCCCCTCCTAATCTGGGCAGCGCGTCATTCCAAGGGTGGAGGGAACGGAGGTGGACAGAGGAAGATGAATACGACATGAGCTATTCGACCGGACTGGGGGCGTCCACGTTGGACGTGTTAAGGGAGAAGTTTGGTGAGGCAAGCTTCCGGGACGCCCCCTCTTGGCAGCCATGGATACCGGAGGCACGCCCCTGGCAGGGACAAAGGGCGTCTCATAGCGCCTCGGAGTCGCGTTTCCGTCTGGCAAGCCCGAAATTACGTATTGGGGAGGAGACGCCACGGCTCGAATATCGTGACCAAGGAGCGTCTAGTTCCACCCAGACCGTATCCCATACAGGGCATGTACGGGGTCAGGGAGGGGATGGAGACAGGGCAAGGGGCCCACGCTCTGACCAGCAGGGGCCGCAAGGACACAGCCGTCAGCTAAGAAGCAGCCATCGCAGGAGCGGTGCCAGGGATGCTCAAAATGTTAGACCAACAGCCCCGGGTCCCGGCTGGGGTCCTGGCCCATGGCACAACCAGCAGCAGCTGTGGGGCCCTCCTCCCCTACAAGCTACCTTCGACGGCAGTCCAGATAGGGTTTCATTGTTTTTGAGTCAGATACTCAGTTATATGGACTTATACGGTCATCTCTTCCCGTCGCAATGGTCTATGGTGGTAGCCATCACCACTGTTCTGTCGGCGAGGCGGCAGACTGGGTCGCCGATTTACATAGCGACCACGCCAAGGAATTAGCTGATGTAGGCCTCTTCTTAGAGGCGTTGCGTTGCCGCTTTGAAGACCAGTCACGCACCCAATTGTTGGAGGGCGAGTTGGTGGCGTTGAAACAGGGAGGTCGGCCTGCCAGACAATATGTCAAAGAGTTCCGAGCTGTGGCAGGCCGCTTACGGGCATGGCCTGAAAGGTTACTCATCCATCAATTCCGCCTAGGGCTAGATCGGGAGTTGAGACAGGCGTGTGTGTATAGAGGGCTACCCCCGAAATTAACAGAGTGGTTTAAGGCTGCGGTGGACCTTGATGTAGGGTTACGAGAATTCCGACCCCGGGGGGTGGCTAGTTTCCCCACCGCCACACGGCGTGGTAGCGATAGGCCTGTGGGGACTCGGGGAGTAGGATCTTCCCCTCCTCGCTCTCTCCTCCCTGTTGGAAGGGGTGCGATCCGATGTTTCAGGTGCAACCAACTAGGCCATCGTGCAGCTGACTGTCCTGTCCCTCCTGTGTCGGCTGCCTCCAAACCACCATCGTCTACAGGGAAGGGTCGAGAACGAGTCCGTTCTTCATCGGACTGGTCCAAAGGGGCCACGCCTACACCGACTTTGGTGTCTACCCGTGGGCCGGCGTCAGAGTCAAGATCCCTTCCGCTCCAGGGCAGTACCCCTATGGCCTCGGACAGCAGTGACGACGATGCAGCTGGTGACCCCATGGTGAGTGGCCCAATACGACCTTTTGTGATACCTGTGGTCTTACAACACTTACAGACAGCAAGAAGGGTGGCACAGCATGCCCTTGTTGATTCCGGGTGTACCCGCTGTTTATTGCGGAAATCTATAGCTCTGGAACTGGGTTTACGAATGGTCCCCTTAAGGGTCCCCATACGGTTTGAACAGATGGATGGATCATTGTTGGGGGGTAGGCCAGCTACCCAGGTAACCGAACCGGTCCGGCTGGAGGTGGGAGACCATTGGGAAAAGATTTGCTTTGTGGTTGTTGATACTATGGTAGAGCCCCTTATCCTTGGCCTAGCATGGCTAGACAAGTGGAGACCGACTATTTGGTGGGAGGGCGGTTATCGGAGATTACGACTGGGACTTGGCCCTGATCCAGTCCCAGAGGAATTAAGCGGGAGAGCAGAGAATGCTGGGGATGCTGTACACCAACAGCCAACGGGTGGGTACCCTGTAGAATATAGTGATCTGTCGGCGGTCTTTGACGAACAAGAATGTGAGATACTACCCCCTCATCGGCCGACAGACTGCGCTATTGAATTGAAACCAGGTGCCCGTTTGCCAAAACCCCGCATGTACGCTATGACAAAACCAGAGTTAGAGGAATTAAGGCGGTACATTGATAAGAACCTGGCCAGAGGCTTCATTCAGCCCAGTAGGTCCCACATGGCAGCGCCCGTCTTGTTCCGGGAGAAGAAGGATGGCGGGCTACGTTTGTGTGTAGACTTCCGGGGTCTAAATGCGGTTTGCGTGGAACATCTATATCCCCTGCCTCTCATGAAAGACCTTTTGGCTACACTGTCGACTGGTAAAGTGTTTACGAAACTAGATCTGCGTGAGGCGTACTATCGAGTCCGAATTAGACCTGGTGATGAATGGAAGACCACATTTAACTGTCCTCTGGGCAGTTATAAGTTTCGGGTCATGCCCTTTGGGTTACAGGGGGCACCAGCTGTCTTCATGCAGGTAATAAATGAGGTCCTGCATGAATTTCTTTATCGCGGTGTTCTTGTCTATTTGGACGACATTTTAATATACACCAAAACGATGAAGGAACATATAGTATTGGTACGGCAGGTACTTGCAAAACTGTTACAGGCGAAGCTGTTCGTCAAACTGTCAAAATGCGAATTCCATCGCACAAGGTTGGATTATTTGGGATATCGGATATCTGGCAATGGGGTCGAAATGGATCCCAAGAAGGTGCAGGCAGTGCTGGACTGGCAAGCACCGAGAACACGAAAGCAATTACAAAGCTTTCTCGGTTTCGCGAATTTTTATCGCCAGTTTATACCAGCGTTTGCTCAAATAGCTCTTCCATTAACAAACCTGCTCCGCACAAAGGACACAGGCCAGAAAATAAGACCAGGTCAAGTAATAGTCTGGTCCGCGGAATGTCAACAAGCCTTTGATGGTTTGAAAACCCTGTTCTCACAAGCTCCGATCCTGCAGCATCCAGATCCCTCTTTGCCATTCGTGGTACAGGCCGATGCAAGCGATGTGGCTGTGGGGGCGGTTCTTATGCAACGAACGACAGCAACCGGGTTAGTTCCTTGCGCGTACACATCTCGTAAACTGACCCCAACGGAGAGGCGTTGGGCTATTTGGGAAAAAGAGGCATTTGCTGTTAGGTGGGCTTTACTAACCTGGCGACATCTATTGGAGGGCAGTGGGAAAAGGTTTGAGGTATGGACGGACCATAAAAACCTTGAAGCACTACAAACCCCAAGGCGCCTGTCACCAAAGCAAGTGAGATGGGCGCAATACTTCCAACGCTTTGACTTTGACCTCAAATATGTCCCGGGGGGTAAGAACTTCCTGGCCGATGCTTTATCGCGTCTCCCTCAGTACAAGAGTAGGAGGGAACAGGTCGTACAAGCATTAATGCCGGGGGTCCAACAAGTGGGCCGGACGTCCCATACTGTGCCATTCCAGTGGGAGAAGGAATTAAAGAATGCTCTAGCAACGGATCCCTGGCTAGCAGAACATAAGCAAGCGTTAACATACAGGAACGGTTTTGCTTGTATGGGAAGCAAGATATACGTTCCCCTAGCTCTGCGGTTGAATATATTACACAAGTGTCATGACGTGAAAACTGCTGGCCATTTCGGATTCATCAAAACACTACATCTGGTACGACGTCAATTCTGGTGGCCCCGTATGAGAAAAGAGATCGAGGACTATGTAAAAAGCTGTAAGGTGTGTGCCAGTACGAAACCCCGGCCTGGAAAACCTCTAGGCCTTTTACAGTCCGTAGCAGACCCCAGTCGACCATGGGAGGAGGTTGCTATGGACTTCATAGTGGATCTCCCACTAAGTAATGGGTACAACGTTATATGGACTGTAATAGACCTTTTCTCGAAACAGGCCCACTTCATACCATGTCGTGGGTTACCGTCTGCCCGTAAACTCTCCAAAATGTTCCTTATACACATTTACCGATTACATGGGGCGCCTCG